CCAGCCTCAGATTCTTCGTCGTCTGTCACTTCGATATACTCGTATTCACCCTCACCCTCAGTGTTCTCGCCTTCTGAGCTCTCCTCCTCCGATTCGCTTTCGTCGTCCGTGTCGAAATACTTCACGTCGCTCTGTGCGGGCGGCTCAATCTCTTTAGCAACCTTCATCTTGACTACTTTCGTCTTGCTCGCCCCCTTGTAACAATCGCATGCCATCCGCACTTCCAGATTGTAGTCCCCAGCTCGAGGCGCTTGGAATGTAAATTTCACATTGAAAATCGTCACCCGCGGGTCGGATGACAGCTTGTGCGCCGTCTCGTCCACCTCGTCATCATCCGCGTCCCCATCACAACATGCGTCCTTCCTTCTCCGCGGCACAGGGTTGTGGCCGACAGCCATTCTCGGCATCAGTCGTCGCACTTCTAACGGGCACATCAGCCTCTCATCTGCCAACCATACCCACCATGCCTCTTCCTTTCGGAAAGGAAGGTTCGGAGTATGAGGCGAAAACACAGATCCTGACCTTCTCATAATAGTCAGCTTTGCTCGAATTGTTACGGTGTCCCCAGCGTGAACTGTGGGGTCATCTTCGCCTTCAACCACAGCGTCCGACACATCCAACGTTGCTGAAGGGAAACGATCTAAAAACGCTTTTACATCCAGGTATTGCTGATCTGAGAAGTCGCGCAAAATCTTCCTTTGTGCTTCCATATCTAGCTTCATGAAGTCATAGATGGAACGAACCGTCGGTGTGCGTGAGTTCATGCAATATTTCACCTCTCGTTCTGTAAAATGGGGTATTTGAAGGAACGGCGAGCTCTTCTCGTCGAGAGCTTGGATCAAGCATTGAATTAAACTCAGGCATGTCGCCAGATACACTGTGTGACCATGAACGAATGTCTTGTCCCATGCAGCCTGGCAGTCTGGTCTTTGGAATACGCCAACTGTGTCAGTCATTGCGGTTAATAGCGAGACCGCGCGACTCAAAATGTCTTCCCTAATGTAGTCGAGCTTCTTCGAAATCCCAACGCGACATAGATAGGCAGTCATGACGTGGAAATTCTGAAGTTGGAAGGGCTCCGGTTCGACAACACTTCTCGTTCGCTTCATGTCTTTGCCCCCGCGCTTCAAAGCGTCGACGATCCCAGCCAGGTGAGGATCATTGTCGGTATTGTATAGTCCCCTGAACTCATAGCTTCCGCAAAAAGCTGCAAGCAGGTCACGGAACTTTGCTGTCTGCTGTAGGGTCTCGCGGTACAGCATGAACGTAGACGTCATTATATCGCTGGTCAACTGCAGACTTCGCTTCCTCCACCAGAGACCCACAGCAGTTGGAAAGAAGATAACGATAAAGCCGAAGTATGCCAATAAGACAAGATTGCGACTTTCGTCAACCCATTCTGGTAACCCCAGACCAAGTGTGGTTCCCATATATCCGTCCGGGTTACCGTACTTCATGTAGTTTTCACGTGCAACTTCATCGGTCAAGGCTGCGTATGCCTTCGTGATCTTGATGAAGCGCTCGCCTGCCTCGGGGTCGTCACGATTCTTATCTGGATGATGAATGACAGAAAGCCTTCTGTATGCCTTCTTAATCTGCTTCGGAGTCGCTGCGCCGTTGACGCCAAGAATGGTGAAGGGGTCGAATGGAGGTTCTGCGGTCAAATTGGCATGATAGACCTTGACGGACATGACAGCCAAGAGAATAGTGATGATAACATATAGTATTGTCCAAAAGCCGAACGCTGCCGGACCTTTTGTTTTCGATTCGAGTTTTTCCTTCTTGTCTTGACAAGCCTGGCACGGACACCACTCTTCTTGCGCTATTTCAATAGCAGTTTTTTTGTGGGTGGTGCGACGAATGAACCGGATTAATTTGTGTATGGTAGTGGGAATCCAGACGACAGCGAGGAGGGCGACGAAAAAAAGGTGGAAAGCGTTGTCGTCGTAAATCATGTTTCCATCCTTAGCGCCGCCCGTGTTATACTCTTCCCCCATGGCAGAGCAAAAATGAGACTCTCACGAATGAGTTCGGTTTGAACGCCTGCCGAAATGGGACACGGCTCCGCAGTCTCGCACGACGCGCCGTAGTTTGATGACTTGATTGCAATCCCGATATATGAGCACAGGCTGGAAATGCGTTGCGGAAGTTAGGAATGAACCCTAAGGAGCGGCGGGTCCGTGATGTCTCGGTCTGTAAAGGGGTGTGAGTGTGCGTAGTTGGGTAGGGAGGGAGCAATTCAAGTTGGGGTCTATGGCTGCATCAGGAGGAGGCCGTGGTAACCCACTCAAATTGATTGTCTCGTGCCTGTTGTACAGCTATGATCAGCACTACTGTACCACATGCTCACATCCACAGAAGCAGCAGAGGTGAATTTTGAATTGCTCCTTACTTTTCATAATTTTCTAGAACAAACCCCCGCAACTTCTAAAAACTAGACGCTGTACACGTCTACACGCGTTCCACTTGTATCATACTGTAAGCATAGATATATCTTTACAGAAAGCTCTCCTCCTTTCGCGCCCGAGTTCAATTCTGGAGGCGAATAGGCTCCAATTTCGTCGATCGCCCCAGTCATCTCCTCCGCGCATGAACATCAACGACTGAGGTGACTGGCAATTTAGATCTCAAACATTTTCGTCTTTCCTCACCTTTCTAGTCTCATCTTCTCCATTCCACTTTCCGCTAATACGGGCGTAACGCTTTCAAAACACGGCCTCTGGAATTGCGACCAGCCATCATCGCAAGCGTGAGCTATTCTGTCAGGGCATGTTCATACTCTCTTGAGCGAGGCCGCCTCCTCTATCAGTCATTCAACGCCCATCTCACTGCCCCGCTCTCTCAAAAAGGCGCAATGGACCCCGATATGGCCATGGCGGCAATAGCCACTGCGATTCGAGAAGGCGGCGGTCCCTCCGCGTTGGGCGACTATCCCCCAAACAACGCCCCTCCAACCCGCATCTTGTCTTTCAGCGAAGCCGTTGCTGCACTGAGACAACACACATTCAAGAACACTACTGACTTTCGAGCCGCCTGTCTCACCGCCCGCTCCATTCACCAAGACACTTTTGTGACCATTAACAACGCAGACATCAGCAATCTCCAAGCAGCCCGGGATCAACTCCACCACTCCGAAGACTTCCTCGCTTACATATCTTTGCTCCACGCAAGCCTCGCTGCCATCGAATCAGACTCACCTCTACGCGGAGATCTTATCGCGGAGTATCGACAAGTCGTCTCGAATACCCGCCGTGAATGGGCTGCAGCTGTCCCACAGCGATGGGTCGGCATTAGCCGGCACGCTGCTAGGCTCGCAATTGAGACGCACGATATCCAACTCGCTCTGTCACTTATCAGTCCACTTCGCGAGTCGGCTGAGAAGTTAGCCCCGGCGCCGGACTATTTAGTTCCAACTCATGCAGATTTCCTAGCAGTATGCCTCGAGGCCAAGTGTTACAAACTCGCCGCGTCCTGGATTCGAAGCCACCGAAGACTAAGAGTCGACGTCGACAATACGGCCCTCGCAGGAACAGACGTTCATCTCACTCAACATTACTCAGCTATGATTTTTATCGGCGTCAAAGACTACAGAGCTGCTCTGCAATGTTGCAGACTGGCGCTGACAGTTCCAGCACCAAACCCTGGTCCTTTTCACGAAGTCGCCGTCTCGACATTCAAGCTCTTCGTGTTGCTTCATCTGCTCGTAACGGCTGTTGCGCCACCCAATCTGAAATTTAGTTCTTATCAACCTCAAAGGCTACGGAAAGAGGTCACCGAGGCGATGGAGTTAGCCTCTGCCTACGAAAAGAAGGACATGACTCAAATGCGGCAAGTGTTCGAGTCTAATTGGGATTGTTTCGATAAGCAAGGCATCCTTGGCTTTGTGAAACAGGTAATGAGTTCACTTTCGAAAGAAATACTCGTTCAACTTACAAAATATTTTACAACCATGACCATGGCAGATGTAGCCTGCCGTGCCGGTCTAGCCGATGAAGACGAAGCACATGCAACAATTATCGAGTTGCTTCGCAGTGGTAGAATTAATGCCTCCATCAACGAGCAAACAGGAATCGTCAGGTTTTTGGAAAACGATACTGCAAACGAGGAGCGCATCGCCAGTGAGTTGTCAAGTAGTCATATGGACAACTGCGTGAACATTGTACAGAGAACCGAAGCCTTCCGGGAGAGTATGGAGGCGGACCCCAGCTTTATACTGGAGTGGCCCTCAAATCGCGGAAGACGCACGAACACCGGTGGGTCGCCATTCCCGGGGGGAAACCCTCGACACGTTGCGTTTGATGCAGAGTTTGTGCGATAAACATAGTCTTAGTTCATGACCTAAGTGAGGCAGCAGATCAGTTCATCTAACATGGGATATTGGGGGTTTCGACTAAACGTACGATACCGACTCGAACGATTATGTATGTGCATCTCATGAGTTTTCGCCCAGTTCCGATGATCTGATCTGGGCTTTGATAGCCTAGCAGTGCAACTACAGTGTCTCATTATGCTGCAACATGGTACTCCCATCGCCCAAACTACATACAGCGCACGCAGCGATGGTAAACTTAGCTGCTTCAGCTTCTAGCTCGCTATCGCGAAAGAAGAGGAGGACATCATTTACAAGAAGCACACCCTAAAACGAGCATTCAAACATGTCCCGAACCGCAGCTAATATGTGGCAGCTCCCTTGGTCTTCTTCTGATCACCAAGCTCGAAGTGCTTGCATCGCTTCAACACGCGTTGTTGCTTGAAACCACATGCAGTGCACTCGAGACGAAGGACAATCTTCTTCGTCGTCTTAGCCTCTGCACACCACAGGATCCGCAGACAAATAAAATGTAGCAAGAGGGAAAATGAGGTCAGGACTCTACAAAGAGTTTCGCCGTTGCAGTAAGAACGGTCGCCTACGTCACAAAGTGTTCAATATACGTACTTTTGTGGAAGACTGGTTTTGTCTGCCCGCCAAATCCAGCCTGCTTAGCGTCGTAACGCCGCTTTCCCTGGGCGTACAAAGAATCTTTTCCCTTCTTGTACTGGGTGACCTTGTGAAGCTGATGCTTCTTGCACTCCTTGGAGATGCAAAGGGTCTTTCGAGATTTGGGGACGACAACCTACACGGGATGGTGACCAAGCAGAATCCGGTAAATTCATCGAAGCAGAAGCCAGAACGTAGCGCAATCATCCAGGTTAGTCATTCATGAACAGATTGTTCATCGCGCTGCCGCAACGGTATCGAAATGAATAGAATCCTTCAGCGCTCTGAGTGCACTGATAGAGGCGTCGAAGCGAGTTGACAGAAAATTGCGGCTGTCATGATGCCGTTGAGGTAAATGGTCTCCGCAAAAGTGCAACTTACCATTGTGGTTCGTGTGAGGCTGCAAGGGGAAGCTCCGACTGATGTGGTGGAATTTGTTGGAGGAGTTGTGGGGACCGAAAAGCAGCGGTAGTGCTGATCGGGGACCAAGGAGACCGTGACGGCGGTCGGCGCCGGGATCGCCACGATACACACGCGTACTCGTTTAACACGTGGTCACGTAGCCCTAGCTTAAGATTGGCCAGTAGAGAGATTGATAAATGCAAATATTTTTGTGATTCCTTCGAAAGTATGTGCATTCCTCTTTCTGAGGTTCAGCATCGGCTCTCAGTCTTGGGACGTTGTGCAAGGGGGAAAGGAACGACTGCAGTCTCATATCATCAGGAGCGGTGGGCTCGAGATGTAACTTTCAATATCTTTGTAAAAGCCCCTGTTCGTTCGTTACCGCAGAACAGGGTCTAACATGAACAGCTATCTACAAATCACCCAGTACCAAACGAAAACCCAATAAGTGCTTTTGTTCCATATACTGCGGTCCCTGCACCACCCTCCCCCCTCATTTTTGTTAATGGTGCAGTCTTGCAGGCGATTTCCCTCAATATTCCATATCGCAGGTTTCTTTAAAGGCGACAGAGTCACGTACACCGCGCAACCTTCCAAAACGGCGCTTCAGATGCGCATGCAATGGGCCACTAAATGTGCCGTATCCCCAAGCCCTCGTCAGATACTGCACAATACCCGTGGGTTCAGTGCACGTAGTGACGGGTGGTTCGATTGTACATCCATGAAGGAGAAGTGAACAGTGTCGCGCACTGGGTTGCGAGCAGTGTCGCGCAGCGGGTTGTGAACAGTGCCGCGCACCGGTTTTCAACTGTACAAACAGGGATGTCTCTTGGAAGGCGCGCTGCAAAGTGCATCCAGAAATGACAAATATTCGCAGTACAGTAGGAGCAAACCGACTAACCTTCCCGGACATGCTCCGGTCTACAGTATGCCCTTTCTTCCGCACAATATTCCATACCGTCTGGTAACGAGACTCCTTGCGGCATCGCGGATTCCAGTGTTTACCATACGGAACATACGCCCTCCCAAATTCTGGCCATTAAGGGCTCAGACACATTTTTATGATGCTTGTTGTCAGCATCTGGCCGATAGTTGCTTCACAACATCTACGCTCATTTTCGCCGCGGTTTTCGTAGGCCAACATTAAGCAAACCTTCATCTGCCATCATTGTCATGCATGAAATCGGTTTCGAAGACGAACGAGTTGTACAACATCGCAGCTGCAGGTGCATTCTGTACCCGTGGACAAGATGTAAAGATATGATGTGTGCACGTTGGAAACACATGGGTCATTCAAATCTGAAAACATGAGAAGACGTGTTCGCCAGGATTGGTCCATCTGGATACTGATATCATACTTAGTGCCTCGGTATCATTTCTCCCTCTCCAGGTATCCAGTGACACTGCCGAGCCAATCACTACTGTGAACATTTTCGAGCGAAGGAAGTCAGGAAAGCGCATTTGGATATCCAAATGAGTACTGGGTACTTCCGGGCAGTGATTTCATGTGTTTTTGTAACGACTGAAGCAGTTGCAGCCTGTTGCTCTCACGAGCTAAAGTACTACTTTACCGAAGAGCGAAGCGAGAAGCAATAGATTTCTTTTTGTCAAAGATACCCGTAAATTGAACGTTTGCTTCGGGATGCACGTTCTTTTCTTTGATGACCTCTTGTGAGTTGCAAATGGGCCTGGCCGCGGCGAGACTATATTGCGCGAAGCGAACTTGACCTCAAGAGATATCTATGCGTGCACTGCGCCAATGATACGTTCCATGCAGTAGAAAAAAAAAAGATTGCTGCAGCTCATACATCTGTTTGCGTAGACGCAGTTCAGTGAAGGGTAAGCGGAACGTTAGGGAGACTCTGCAAAGCAAGTGCAGGGAATGGAAAGCAGTACTGCAATGGAGGAACGATTGACGCCAGAAATAATTGGAAGGAGCCTTTGCAGGTGATGAGCACAAGGAGTGTTCTGTTTCCTGGACAGTGATATTAATCTAACCTGTCCTGTGGCCAAAAATATAAGGAAAGCACGTAATTCCTCAAATTTCACTTTCAAGTTTTGGCTGGATGCCACTTGAGAATGTGGCTCCAAGAACGCAGTCTTAGAGGGAACTGCTGATTTTACTGCACTGCACTCCAATATTTAGAAAAAAAAGAGGAATATAGAAATTTAAACAGGCGATGCAAGCCTTCTGGCGCGTATAATGATTGACTCACGCAATATTATTATTAATTCATAAGGATGAATATTTTTTAATTGGAACTCGTTGGTACAGTTCTGTGTACTGTAGTACAAGTTATGTATGGCTGTACGAGAGGGCAAGGACAAGGCAGGGGGTGTTGTTAGACTTATTAAGGTAACTACGTACAGTACCTCAAGTATTGCAGTTGCGTGAAAGCACTTTGAGTTTGGGGAATATCAGTAGAAAAGTAAACTAAGTGTGCAAATAATACAGCAACGCAGATTATAGCATAAGTTGTGCATCATATCTACAAGTGCGAGTCAACTTTCAAAAACGGGAAAGCCCGCCTTTTTGTGAGATATGCCTCGCAGTTTCAGTCTAATCAAACTAAACACTATAAAATGGAACAACTGCGCAGTTGATATAGAAAAACCACTTCTTGCAGCTGCTCCTCATTTCTCCCACTCTATTTGCTATTTCAAAAATGAATCCCTCCCGCGCTGTTCAGGCTCTTTCGGACATCACTAACCGACACGTCAATGAGATCGTCGATCACATTGATGACGACGTGGTCGCCAGCGATGATGAGAACGACTCCAATTGTCCAATTTATGACACGTTTTATAATGACGGAGGTTCTCAATCTATTAAGGCAATATGTAATTTTGATTCCTCTCAATTCTTCGAACTATGGGTTATGATTGAAGACTACGTGTCAAAGAATTGGAATGTTGGCAGAGGTAAAAGAACACAGTACAAGGCCCAGGATGTTCTCTTCATGACACTTACTGTACTCAAGCATGGTCAGCAATGGAACTTTACAGCTCGTCTATTTTCTGTTAAATGTTCTACTTTCGAACGTTTAATAACTGGATTTCTACGTATGATATAAGAATACATGTATGATATATGTGTGGCACGCGTCGAGGAAAAATGGACAATGGCCAAGTGTCGTCTGGAGGACCGGGTGTTTTCGAATTTTGAATACGCGAGATATGCTGTCGACGTCACTTTTCAGCAGAGCAATCGTCCAAGTGGAAATATATCAGAAGGGAAGCGATACTTCTCCGGTAAGCATAAGCTGTATGGGTACAAAGTGGAAGTTTCAGTACTGCCTACTGGGCTTGCTATTGGGTGCACAGAGCATTATCCGGGCTCCGTGTCGGATCTGGAGATATTTCGTCGTAATAGACCCTTCCATAAAGAGGCATCTAAAAAGGGGGTACGTGATTTGCGGTTTACGGATGAGGGACGATTGAGCGAATTTATGGATGACTACTGGGCCATACTGGCGGGATATCAAGGTGCAGCCGAAGATCTACGTGTGGTTTACCCGGTGCGAACCCCGGCACGTTCAACGCTGTCATTGGACGACGTGGACTACAATCGCGAGGTCTCTTCTGATCGTGTCATAGTAGAAAACTACTTTGGAAGAATGTGCAGTTTATGGACTGTACTTTCTCATAAGTGGCGCTGGGGAGAGGGATTGTACCAGCACGTGTTCAAAGCGTGCCTGGCGTTGACCAATCTGAGTGTCAGGGCCCGCCCTCTCCGCTTCGAGGACGGGCAGCACAGCACTGCTGTACGTAATCGCCTACGGGCCATATCAACCAGTCAGATGCGAAAGAGGCGCCTTGTACACGTTGAAAACACAGAAAATCGCCGCGTTCGCATGTGTAGCGGCACGCGTCGTGCACTGTTTGATGACAGTGACACGGAGTAGGGAGGTGTTACGTGCGCATCTCCTTCGATTTACGTGGTTTGTTTTAGAGTACTGTACGGGTAATGTATTGTGTTCTCTTTGATTTTAATCAATAAATGCGGTAAAGGTACTGTACTGTGCATTTCCTAGTGAACTACGATTTTACTGTGTAGATATGAATTTGGTGCGCGCAAACTGGTTTTCTACTGTACGTGCGCATCTACTGACAGATACTATTATTTTTATTTGTTTTTGCGCATTTCATCATCACTCGCGGTTTGGCTCTATTGACTAGACTACAGTAGATATCACGGTTCTATGTTATCAATATCAATTCAGGGATTATGGAGGCTACATTTAGCTATCAACGATACAGTCCCTTAAGGACGTGCCACCTACAATTCTACGTGCCACCTACAATTCTACCTGTTTTAGGGTGTAACCGTTTAGACACATTTCGTGGGTGGTGCAACTTCCCTTTTATGGTAGTGCGCCTACTTTTGTTGTAGAGTCAATAGGACTATAAAGCCTGGTCGAAGACGCTACTCGTCTTCGACCTCAGCATATTCGATCACCTGAACCATCAACCCAACAACCCCGTCCCCTGACCGTGTTCACTCTCTGTAGCGGTTCTGAGGCAATAGCCTGCCGCTCCTCCCCTTCCCTTTAAGGTAACCCTATTTACTACCCTTTTACTCTTCACCAAAATCCCCTCCGGACCGCCCCTTTCGGTCGGTCTCCCGACACTTATAAGTTTACTGGACCGCCGCCCCGCTTGGTCCTGCCCCGTCCCTAGAATAAGACCGGCCTTAACCGACCGTCGAATCAACTTGTTTACGCATCCGGAATAAGGCCGCCCTATTCAGTCAGTCGAATTGGATATCAAGAAAAATTTTCAAGAAGCAACTTTGTCCCTAACGTTCACTGAAATAACTACTGTCTAATTTTACAGCGGACGTTACACATTTCGGCGTACTGTACAAAATACTGTACGCCTGACGCATTAGGGCAGTTTTTAATGGGACGAGTAAAGCGCCCTACCAATCACCCCGACGTAATTCGAGAACGCAGCATCGCCGCCGCCGCCACCCTCGCTAC